AAAATGCATCAGGATATAAAGCACTTTACAGCAGCTTGACATTTTTAGAAAATATTTGCATAGCTACCCAGTATATTAAAGATCAGGGAACAAAACAACACAAGTGTTACACAGCCCCATAAATGTCAAACTTGTGTATAACTGAATCACATAATGGCCTACTGCTGAAATGCTGAAATGCTCATTAACATGTCAAACCTAGTGATTATTTTGAGAGCAATACAGACTATTAGTTTATTAAATTCAATCATGCGACTAGTTTATTAGAGCATATATAGACTAAGAAATCATACAACAGTACCCTGGACAGCAGTGCCACTCTAAAGCTTTAGAGCAAAGTCCAATTATTGAAAGTTGACTTTCTACCGTAGGCTTCGATAAGCATTTCTTATTTGCTTTATTCGATGCGCAGCAGGAAAGTCTCAGTGCATGTAGTCATTGGTTTAGTTCTCTCCTGGATCAGAGCGAGATTTGTGCTACCAAATACAGTGCTGCATGCAATAAATTTGCGTCAGTCAGGCGAATTAAAGGTCTCAAATGCTCAGGATGTCAATGAAATTATTAAACTCACCATTAATAAAATAATAGGCCATTTCATTATTTTAGATGACTGGTTAGAAAATAAACCATGTATAAAATAAGTCAATAAAATAACTGAGTTCTGAGATATTCACTTCTCTTCCAGAGAGTGCTCTATTGTTTAAACCCTTTTAAAACTATTGTTAGACCAGGCAGCACTAATACGGTTTTATTTTCCACTCATGCTGCAACAGCTCTTTTTAACATTACACAACCCATCAGTAGTTGCCTTTAATGCAATGTAAACCGCTCCCTTTGTTCAATTAAACTCAATAGCTGAAACACTTTCAAGTTAATAAAAACAAAAGCAACCAAGTGTCTAAACACTGCTATGCTGCTCTATCATATTGGGGTGCTACATATAGGTACATGTTACAGCACCTTTTTTAGAGGTCGTATGTTGCGTGCCTCTGGCTTAATTTTATTTGGAGGGAAAATGACAAATGCAACAATTAAATGTTTGCAGGGGAATAAAGGTATTTAAGATCTTTGAACATGACAATTAAACTATGATAATGTATCAATAGTGCATTTATTACAATAGCAGAAATATATTTACTTTGGCAACCCCAGATTGATAAAGGGATGAAGCCAAAAAGAAATGAATGATTACGCATAGATGTTGACAGATGTTTGATACCTCTGACCCTGCTGATTTCACTTTTGCACACATTATACAGTGTCACTTTGTTTTATCTGCAGCTCCACTGACTGTAAAATGCTTCCACACAGAACATGAATTTTTTTTTTGACTGGTGGAGGACCAAGAAATGGCTCAGCAGCAGTCTCACTCTTTTTGACTTTCTGGGTGCCCAAATGTATATAAGGAGTTTCAAGTTAAGTGACGGAAAGCTATGCTAAGGTTAACTAGCCTATAGCATATATCTTGCTGTCTGCAAAAGACAGTAATTTAGACGTACCATATAACTCCTATAAGTGCATACTATTCGACACAACTGCACAAGCATCATTTTAACCTTTATAAACGAACGTTAACGTTACTCTGTCATCAGTCTATTGTCTAAATTACCATGCTAACAGAGCTAACGTTGCGTAAACGGAGCACCCGATTGCAGATGTCAAAAATGCAGCGTAATGGAATATCCCGATCAAACTCCGCTTCAACTACGCTACAAGTTTAAAAACTGCATCTGGAACTCAAGGTACAAAACTCTATTTAACAAAAATAGTGATGCAGTAAAGTGTTTTCACTCAGCTGAGCCTTCTCGGTTCCTGTGGAGAAGCTTGTGCCAGACACCTTTTACCTCCGCCCCACCCTGCGACTTCTGACTGAGCCCCTCTCTCTCTCTCTCTCTCTCTCTCTCTCTCTCACGGACATGCACTGGTCTCATGAGGAAATGCTGCTTTTTGATGTTTTTCTTGCTCCCGAAAACATATATTTTTTCTAGTATTTGTTCGAAATAAGTATTCGTAAAAACACTCTATTCGTGCCTTTCCGAATACTGCATTTGGGTTCGGCTCCACCCTTAATATATATAAATGACGCTTGATGGCTAGTTTAAATGAGTTTAGATTAAGTTCATTGTCTCCTTTCCATAAGATCGAGATGGCAGTTTTATCTGGATTAGCCTAAACATTGATCCTAACTCTTTGCCCCACTGTGTCCTGTCCCATATGGATTGTGGGGAGGGACTCGGACTGGTGCATGAACCTGAAGATCAGAAAGGCTGGGAGTGCATGGCCTAAACTGTTCTAGAATCCTTTGGTTACTTGTCCTGAATAGTAAAAGAAGAAAGCAGTGGGTGTCTACATCAGCAGTAACTAAATCTACTTTTTATAAATTGAAACGGCCCTAACCAACCCCCACCCCTAAACGACCAAAAGAGGCTTGGCATGTATTTAGATGCTCATCTACTTTTCTATCGAAAGATAGCTCTAACCAAAAGCGGTTTGGTTTTTACTTGAATCTCTTTCATCTCAGATCAACTATTTGATCTTTCTTTCACCTTTATCATTGTTTCCTGTATCTACATCTTTGTTTCCTGGATTTCTTTAGTATTCTTTGAAAAACTTTCTTAGGTTTCACAATCATTTGATCTTTTAAAACACTAGCCTGTTATTTTGGATCAATGTCATCTACTTGGATACTATCTTTCATTATTTGAATAAAATCAGAAATAGGATTTAAATCCTCTTCGTCTACTTGTTTCTAGACTGGAATATAGCACTGGCCCACACCTAACCCTAACCGCAAGGGATTCTAACCCACTCATTAACTGAACTGTTAGTAATCAAAGCAGCAAATTCATTAAAGCATTTAAGGAAAATTGAGGGAGGGTATTTATTTACAATTAGGTTAGACATTTAGTCAAACAAACTTCAGTTTTGTAACTGAAGAACAAACCTAAACAAAGTCAAACAATTCTTGGATCATCTTGATTTCTCAATTTTGAATACTCTCCTACTCCTAGACTGTAATAGCCCTCACCCACCCCTACACCTAACTACAAGGTGTATTTTGGATCTATAGAAAGGGGAAAATGAAATGGCAATTTAATCTTAACCTAAAAATTAACCAACTCTTTGCTTACCTCTGTGTCCTGTCCCATATGGACTGTGATGGACTCAAGACTGGTGTGTGAACCTGAAGCCCAGAAAGGCTGAAGTGCATGGCCTAAAAAGGTCTAACATCCTTGGGTTCCTCTTTCTGAACTGTCAAGTAGAAAAATATAGCAGCAAATATGGCCCAACATAAGCAGTAACTAAATTTTAATGCGGATGAAACAGCCCTAACCAACCCCCACCCCTAAACAACAGAAAGCTTGGCATGTGTTTGGATCATGTTAATACTTTTTTATAAATAGAATCTGCTAACCCAACCAAAAAGTTTTATTCAGATCATTTTAATGTCAGATCATCTATTGGATCTTCCATATGCGTCATGGTTTCATTTTATCTACATCTTGGTCATCTGGATTTCCTTAGTGCAATCTTTGAAAACTCTAAGTTTAACAATCCTCATCTTTTTTTCTCTCTCTCTTCAAACACTAGCCTTATCTTGGATCGATGTCATCTACTTGGATACTATGTCACTTGAATCATCATTTATTCCCATCCACACACCAATCATGGATCTTTCACCAAGATTATTCAATGTTCAGTTCTTTCTTGCATTCTTAACCAGCATTTTGAATCCTCTTCATCTACTTTTTTTGTAGACCAAAATATACCACTGTCTTACATGTAACACTAACCGCAATGGTTTCTTAACCAATCCTAAACAACTTCTCAAGCAACAAATCATTGTTTAAAGCATTGAAGGAAAATTGACTAAACCATGTCTACCCTTAAGTCAAACCTAATTGTATATAACAACCTTCCCTCAAACTTAACCCTAAAACCAGATGTTTTGTAACTGAAGAACATAAAACTATTTTAACACACAACCCTAAACAAAATCTGGTCATTTCTTAAGTTGAGAACATTACCCCTACTGAACTCTACCCCAGTATACTGAATTAGTAGTTAATTATTAATATATTATTATAATTTATAAATATATAAATGGGTAGTCAACTAGGGGTAGTCAACTAGGGGTAGTCAACTAGGGGTAGTCAACTAGGGGTAGTCAACTAGGGGTAGTCAACTAGGGGTAGTCAACTAGGGGTAGTCAACTAGGGGTAGTCAACTAGGGGTAGTCAACTAGGGGTAGTCAACTAGGGGTAGTCAACTAGGGGTAGTCAACTAGGGGTAGTCAACTAGGGGTAGTCAACTAGGGGTAGTCAACTAGGGGTAGTCAACTAGGGGTAGTCAACTAGGGGTAGTCAACTAGGGGTAGTCAACTAGGGGTAGTCAACTAGGGGTAGTCAACTAGGGGTAGTCAACTAGGGGTAGTCAACTAGGGGTAGTCAACTAGGGGTAGTCAACTAGGGGTAGTCAACTAGGGGTAGTCAACTAGGGGTAGTCAACTAGGGGTAGTCAACTAGGGG